ATAAATATGGCAAGTAGCCAAATTAGAATAGGATTTGAGGAGTAGTTGATTTTCTTAAGTTTTCTGCTACTGTAACAATGGACTGATCCTACTTATAAATATGGCAAGTAGCCAAATTAGAATAGGATTTGAGGAGTAGTTGATTTTCTTAAGTTTCTCCGTTCTATATATGAGTATTTAATAAACTCTTTGGTTTTCCCTACCTAGGCCTCTATTCCTTTGATACTCACTCTACGTCCTGACTAATTTTCGGCTAATTTGAACGAAGAAAATATTTCTTTTTCAAGTTTTCTCTCTTTATTTTTAATGAAAATTAATATTTTTATTCTCATAGTTTATTAATATGCATAAATATAATAAAATCATATAAAATCGAAAACTATGATAGATTAATTAACACCTTAAAATCTATTACTGCTTATGCCTACTTAGTATCTTTCCCCGAAAAGAAATCCGTAATGGCTAAAGATCCTGTTTATTTCTGTTCATTAATATTGTAAAAAACTGAATATTGTAGTCAAATATATGTACGACATTGAAATTTTAATGGAAAATACAGTACAACTTAAAAAAAATCATATTGGGATGCTTATACTAATAAGTGGCATTATACTCAAGTACTTCATTTATTCCGTTTTAGCTTTGTTAAAACGAGGTTGTATAATACGCAAGTCGTATTTTGAACAGGAATATACTGTAAAAATTAATGAATTAACTTTCCTCATATGTTTAGAATTTATTTCAATTCTAATCATTGTTTTTTTTTTTTTTAAATTCCTAGGATGGAAGGTAGTTAAAATAATAGCGGTGTCAACCGAAAAAAAAGTCCTTCTGAGATTTTTTTTTTTTTTTTTTTCGGGGACGAATACTAGATATAACCGTAAATTCGATACTAACAGTTTCCTCTGTCGGACTTCACGCTTTTAGATCACCCTTCCGGCTTGTTGCTTCCCAGTCAACTTTGATCTTCAAATATTTACATTTGTCCGTTGAGAATTTTGCTGAGTCTATCACCGTGCGGGACATTTAAACAGGAAACCTTCAAAGAGGGCGGAGATTAACGTTAGTTTGTAAAACACGATAACGGAGAGGAATCGCTTGGAATAGGTAGGTGTAAGTTATATTTTAATTATGCCTTTTCTATAAATAATGGTAATTCTTCTGATGAAAATTCCTCTTTAGTAATTAGACTTTTAAGCGCAGTACTAGATTGGCAGATGGGTCTTATCATTTCACAGATTAAATGGCTACATGTAACCGTCAGTTAGGGAACTCTCTCACCTGCCTTTTTTGCTTCCAACTCAACTTTCATCTTTGATCTGATTCAATCTTATCAAATCACGATATGAAGATCCTCCCGAATGGCCATTCTTCTAGATCATTCTGCAGTTATTTTCTCCAGGGCTCTATTCTGTTCCTAATTTTTATGAATGACCTTCCAGGTGTTATCAGTTCTAAACTTGGTATCTATGCTGGTCATACAATTATTTACTCCTGCCTTGATAATAAGTATGATCATTTATTTATTTTTTCAAGTTTTTTTTTTGTAATGGTGCTCATCCAGTACATGGCCTAAGAGCCACTCAATGTAGAGGGTTACAGAGGAAGAGGCACATTTTATGTTGTATCTCGGGAAGATAAAGGTTAAACATTATCTCGGGATTTGTTTCCACAATGCAGCTTGTAGGCGTCCCAGGATCATTGCTTCTCTATACCATTCTATAAATAATTTCAAGGCAATTCTTACGATGAACATTCCTATGAGGTACCCTGACCTTATAAAGTTATGCGCAATTCTAGATGGGTAACAAGATAAAATGGCTAAGTGTAACCGTAAAGTTTTGTGAAAGCAGATACTTTTTTTGCATTTCTTGCTTGCAGAACACTCTACCGCTTCGCAGTCAAATTTGATCTTCAAATATTTAATTGCAATCTTAGTCATCTTCTGTAGGTTGAGCATTTTGGTGAGTCTATCATCGTACGGAACATTTTACCAGGGAACATTCAAAAACGGCGCAGTTCGACGTTAGTTTGCAAAACACTATAACGGAGAGGAATGGTTTCGTCATGGTGGTAAATTTTCATTTTAACACCCGAGCGCTTTTATCCCTTGATATATATATATTGATATGTAATTGAGTGCTGAAAACTGTCGGTGGACGTATAGAATTTGGGCCTATTTACTCCCTTCACAGTAATTCCTTGTAGTTAACTTTCAAATTTAGGTAGTTTTTTTTTTTTTTTTGGTTATTCTTTTTTTTTTAAAGAAGAAAGTTAACTTTCAAATTAGGGTTAGGTGTTTTTTTTTCTTTTGCTATTCTTTTATTTGTCGATGTTTACATATATTTGAAAGTTAACTTTATTCTTAAATTAAGAACAAAAAAATAAAATCGCTTTACGGAAACGCGTACTAATTTCTGAAAAAAATGGTTCAGTAGTAAATGATGCTCGGGTATTAAAATGAAAATTTACCGTCATGGTCACTCTGTGATTGACGACACCGAATTCGCTGTTATGAAATCTGTTCGGAGCTTCTTTGGCGTTATAAAACCGATCCATTTCTTGATCCCGTTGTCATATCTAACGAAAAATGGATTTTACAGGACAAAAGCCTTTCTTTTACGGCAATTTCCTTGAAGATTTGTTTCAGTCACGACTCTCGTTAGCGGCGCCAGCAGTAAGGTCGAGTAAAATCATTGGCAGTCTTCCAATAATCTTTTATCTATGTGCAAATTCGTTCTATTGGGACTTTGGATTTGATTTTATCGTGAGATATTTATGGTCAGAAGGGCGATGAAGATAAATACGTCATTTGAGATGCTTGCGAAATAGCTCGCTCATTAGACAAGTCTTTTAGAATGTCCGCTCTAGTGTCGAAAAATGACGATAGTTTTCGTGAAAGGAGATGTAATTGTTATGTCTGATTACCCCAGACCAGTACATTGAAAATCACAATCAAAATTCCGACGGAGTCTGATTTGATGATTTAGTTTATCGTCACACCCAAGACTTTGCCCAGCATCCATTGCCGTATAGGAGGACTGATATTACGTAACAATTTAATAGACTTTTCTTTGTTTCTAAAAGAAAATTTTCCTGTTTTTTAATACGCTGCTTAGCTTTCAGAAAGCCTCTTTAACATGAGCAGAAGGTAGTGTGAAAAACAGGGTGAAGAATTAATTTCAACTTCAACCACCGCGACGTGAATGATTCCGTAATTTTATTCTTGATAACTCCACAACGGTAGATTTTTTCAAAAGTTCTTTGTTATTTTCGAATTAAGCATGTTGATTTATACGAGAATGGAACTATTCGGGAAATGTTTATTAAAAAAATTGAGAGCTGGGCTTGAACTTCAAATGACCCTTTTGATGTTTCGAGTTCAAATTAGGAACTAGGAACATTTGCCGTAAACATTTTTTGACGTAGGAAAACTCGCCTCGGGAAATTTCGCCGTAAAAAAGCCTCTATTTCACGTTTTAAAAAGAACTTTACAATCTGTGATTTTCCTTTTATCTCCCCCTCTTACTTCCGACCTTTCTAGCTTTCCCTTCTTTCTATCAATCTGGGTAAATTGTCTCCATTTATCAAGAGCTTTCGATCTGAAGAGATGAATATACAGAAATATTCACGAAATAAATTATAGCCGAAATGGATCTTGGAGATTTTACACTTGAATTATTATTATTACAATGCTCTGTAGTTTACAGTGAGCTTTCTTTTGCATAATATCATCATTAGAATTATCCCTGAGTAGTCATGATAGAAGATGGTAATACAGACTGTTCATAAGTGTGTGTCTCGTGCTAAACACTGTAATCATCAGGGTCTGATGATTGGGGCTTTATATAAGACCGTCATCTCTGTATAATCCTGTCCTTTCTCTCCAGGATTCTGGCCAGGTATGATAGGGATTTGCCTACTAATTGCATATCTTAATCATTGTTACGTCAAACAGGTTGTGGTTTTTCTTTGCCCATGGTTCTGGAAACAGGATTTGCGGGCAATGCTTTTATATTTACATACGCTCTGTCTCTGTCAAATATATATATATATATATGATATATATTTTTCCTTTAGGCTGGTGTTGATATTTTCTAATATCTTCTCTTACTAATTTTTTCCTATTTATGAATAAAAAATGACAATGGAAAACTGGTATGTTTGTGGTTTTGCAGCCAAATGAATACTTTGTTGGAGTTGATTATTTTTCGTCCATTTTTTCTGAAATTGTCCAAAGTGTCTTTTGAATGTCGTCACATTAGACGAAACGCGTCGGCAATTGGTCATTAAAGTTGAATTTTTCATTTTTTCGTTGAGGGAGATAAATCTCATTCGTCTTATCAGACTTTGTCTTGTCTACTGAGTATGGTTAAATCGGAGAAATTTTCATATATATATATATATATATATATATATATATAGGACCCTGTCGGAAGAAAAAAAACGAAATATGTTGTAGTGGTTCAACAAAATAGCAATCACACAACGTGAGCACTAAAAAAAGTATGTATATTAAAGCCAAAAAGAAACAGGGGTATCATTAACCCACCATATAACAAAACCGTTAAAACGAACAAAAATTTTTGGTTTATTTAATGTAAAGATTTATTGAGAAAAATATTACCACTTTGTTTTACATAATTTCGAAACACGTGCAACATGTTCAGGGTACGAAACACAAGTCTGGTCTCACAACAACCGTCTTCAGGTGAAAGATGGAATTTTCATTCAACAGGGAAATAAATATTATTAATTTTCTTCGAAAAAAAATGTTCAATGTGCAATATTCTCGATATGTGGAATATTCTCGATATGAGACATTCTAGTAACTTTTACCACCACAACATCTATTAACTATATATATATATCTATCTTTATTACCCCCCAGCATATTAATACTGAAAGACATTCTGTATATATATATAAAAATTATATAGCAATCTCTTTTCAAAATAAAATTAATAATATAAAACAAAATTGGAAGATATAAAAAACATATGGTTTTTTTGAATCTTGCTTGCCGATTCATTCAGACTTGTTCAAATGAATTCTGGCTGTTTAAATACATCTTATCTATCTATCTATCTATCTATCTATCTATCTATCTATCTATCTGTCTGTCTCTGTATCTTATTTATCTCTCTCATTCTGCTTCATCCTATCTCTCTCTATCTACAATTGCAATCTACATTTTCAAACTATCTATTTCTTTCTTTCTAGAGTATATATATATATATATATATTTATTTATTTTACCTCTTTTCTCTCTCATTTTTTATTCTCTTTGTCCTCTCTCTATTTATCTATTTCTTTCTCTCTAAAAAAGAAGAGGGGTTCTCTTTGTCTATATATATTTCTTTCTATCTCTCTCTATTTTCTCTCTAAATATATCTATATTTCTTTTTATCTATCTGCTCATCTATCAATTTCTTTCCTTATATATCTATCTATTTATTTCTCCCTCTGTCTATTTCGTCCCATCTCTCTTTATTTCTTTCTATTTTTCTATTTCTGTTTATCTCTCTCTTTTTCGGGCTATATCTCTCATTTACTTTCTATCTATCTATCTATCTATCTATCTATCTATCTATCTATCTATCTATCTATCTATCTATTTGTTCCTCTCGTCCTCTTTCTCTCTCTCTCTATCTATCTATCTATCTATCTATCTATCTATCTATCTATCTATCTATCTATATATATATATATGTATATATATATATGTATCATATTGAGAAGCAGTTTTCGTTTTATTTTATGATTTCATATAAACGTCGAATGCCCTGAAAACGTAATGGAAACCGTAAAATGTTATGCGTGATTTTCCGCAAAGGCAATCTGGGTAACGTGGAAAGATTCAGAGCAAAATCCAAGTTCACTCAAATATTGAACCGAGGTCAAAATCGTTCGGAAGAATTCAGGAAGACCTGTCAAACAAGAAGCATCTGAAAGGAGGCAATGTTACAAAATGTCACTGCTTCGATTCCTGCGAGTGTCACTTCTTCGTGTTAAGACTGGCTTCATTTTCCTTTCCCAAAACTAAATAAAGAGTAAATATATGTTAAGCTAATAGAAAATGTCCGCGAGACATCTACTGTACAATGGGGTACGTCGGTTTTCGGACCGTGGGTATTGCACTCTATTTGAAAGTTGAGGGCCGATATGATAGATAACAACACTCAATATTTTTTTTTCAAACCGTTACCGTCTGTGAGAAAACGAATTTAAAGATTAAGTTTAGGATCCAAATTAGAGCGTTGGGATTTGATTCTGGTAATCAGTGAAAACGTCCGTCCTGGGTATGACGATAAACTACATCCGCGTCTTGCGTATGACGATAAACTACGCCCGCGTCTTGCATATGACGATAAATTAAACCCCCCGTCCTGGGTAAGAGGATAAACTACATCCGCGTCCTGGGTATGACGATAAATTAAATCCGCGTCCAGGCCTCTGATCAGGAGGTTTTTAGGAGCGTGAAACCACTTCTTAATTGCTGGTGGTTCCAAGGTCCACCCTGACCCGGGGTGGTGTGCCTGTTAGGGTCCCAACTATGGGCAATTAGTCAACCCCGAACTTGAGGTAAAAAGCATTATGAAAAAAAAAATGTAAAAATAGGTTTTAATACCAGAAAACTTTGTAAAAAATTATTACCAGAAATTTTTGAAGAAAAAAAATATTACCAGCAATATATTTTTGGAAAAAAATATTAACAGCAATACGTTTTTGAAAAAGAATATTAGCAACAATACATTTTTTAACATAATATTACCAGCTATACATTTTTGAGGAAAAAAATATTACCAGAAATAGATTTTTGACAAAACAAAATGTTACCAGGAAAAAAAAAATGTCGGCATTAAATGACACATTGAGGTTGATATGGAAACAAAAGAAACCAAAATCAAACAGTGAAAACAATCTATCATGGCTTTATAAAATTTATAATTTTTTGAAGATTTGCGTATATTGAACAATATAATGACACAAGCAGATTATTACTAAATCACACTGCTATCAAATAAGACATTTATTTACTTCAAAGGGAAATTATATTGAAAAATTTAGCTATATTGAAATACTCTCTATGTGTTATTTAATCATTTGAGACTTGATCACCGCTTTACAGGTGGTAGAGAAAAATGACGTAATGCCCAGCCACCGGTTGAATGTTAGTTAAACACTTTTTATATTTTTACGAGCAGCATGGTCCGGCGTTGCCCGTGCTTGATTCAAAAATCATACGACTCATACAGCAATCGCTATCACTTGACTTAAAATATGTTTGCCCTTCCTTGCCTTTAAAGGGTGCCCTTTGCCGTGCTGATGTTGCTATATGCCTTACGCCTTCTTGCCTATCTCACTGCAAATTTTTTCTAAGCTCTATACTAAACATTAAATCTATTACGAAAAAGAACTAAACAAAATGAACACAAAACGTTCAGCTTAAAAAAAAAGGACTCGTAACTGGAAAAACCGAATGAAAAAAGAATGTTAACAACAAATACTTTTTCACACCCAACCCAGTTCTGCGGAATCAGAATCAACGTTGAGTTTAAGCAAGCGAATGAGACAATTGGAGTAAGTGCCATGCAGATTTAAATTTTTCCCACTTGTGACGAATGCAGCTATTGAGTTTTTTTTGCATGCTAGTTAACATTCGTGTCAATCAGCTGTTGGCTCTCAAACTGGCCAATATAATCTTCCTGCCTATTGTTGGCAGCCAGCTATAGCTCTGCCAGTACAAAATGGCTGAAAACTACATGAAAACTGCCATAGAAGCATGAAAAAAAACGATTATTTCCACTATCGATTGGAGTTGGGAAATGCAAAGTCGGTCATGGCCTTCCCTTTAACTTGGAGCGTGTGCATGTAAATTTTGGTGCAAATCCGTCGAAAATTGCAGCCGTGCATTCGTTACAGACACACACATATCCTGCCTTTTATATAGAGAAATATCTACCGTGAAACATCATATACCAATTATATGTGAATTTGGACTCAGGAGTTCAGGCAGAAGAGTTAAAATTGTTCAGGAACGCAGGACTGAAAGGGTTAATGCTGAAATCTAAATATTTTGTACTCAGTTATTATTCTATTTTTGGAGATATTATGGTTCAGTGATACAAGTCTTTACTAATTAACCCATAGCTGGGGGAGAAGAGGTGGATTCATATCTTTCCGAAGGGTATTAGCGCTTAAGTGAATATAACGAAACCAATTCGTCTAGATCCGTTATGCATTGCACCAGCTGCAGAACCAAGTTTACAGCTCCTGGCATTTCTAATCGGTCACCCATAAAGCTACTGACCAGTCTCGACGTTGCTTAACTTTGGCGATCGTGCGTGGAAGTACCGCTGGTATAATGGCTTGGAATTATTAATCGGAGAGCCACTTACGCGTTGGGTTCGTTATGATCATTTAGGTAGAAATACCTTTTGGAAAGGCATGAATTTACTTCTTCTTTTCCCTCCAGCTATGGGTTAATTAGTAAGACTTGCATAACTAAACAATTGTTATTGCAAAAATAAAATACTTAAAATGTAAAAATTTTCTGGCTTTAAATAACCTGCAAAGGGTTGATAACCCGTAGAAAACGAATCAATCATTCAGTTAGGGTTGTCTCTCCTTAATAATGTTTTATTTCAATCATATTCTCTCACACTCAGTACTCCCTTGCGTCTTAGTGGCTTTATTGCCTTGCACGAGGGGAAATGATTAAAACAAAGGGTACAAGATTCCAAATTTTCGCATCATAAAGAAAATTCTGGGTACTTCGATGTGATGTAAAGATTGACAAGTTTGTCTCGTTTGATGAATTACGACTGAATAGTGAGTTCGATCCCCACTGCTCCTTACTTTTGGCCTTGTGCCACTTCTAAGCTACGATGAGAAAATCGCCATAAATTAAATTAAAAACGTTCAACCTGATAATTACCAAGAGGACCAAGCCGATGAAATCCAAACTCCAGACCCCACCAATGTTGCCTACAGGTTTCATTGACATTTTCAGGGTCGCTTTCCTGATAATAAAGATGAAAAATAAAAACCAAAGAATACATTGGTTACAAGACAAACTCTTTAATCAGGTGCCTAAAAAAACGCGATTAGATAAGAAAAAAAATCTTAAACGCTTACAACCAACACCTCACACCCGTAAGGAATATTACAGATAACATTGGCATATTAAAACGGGCGGATTGTTCAAATGAAGGAAAATAAGTAAGGCACTCCTGAAAAAAAAAAAAAAACAAAAAAATACGTGGAACCTTCAGCAAATGTTACTTCCTCCGAAAGCGGTCAGGGCATTCTGACTGTTCTAAAAATTGCAATATGGACAAAATTACTACCACTCCCACACGGCTCAAAATGCAAATAACAATAAAAAATAAAAAATTCCCGCTTGAAATTTAAAGCATTATTCGAAGGCGTTTGATGAAAAATAATATATACCGGGTTCAACAGCAAAATTGTCCAAATCGTGTAAAAATAAAATTGTCCCATTGTCAGATTCAACCCTGAACCCGTTGAATCTTGGAAATGATTAAAGATATCTTACAGGAATTCTCCGACGTTTTCATAACACTACTGGACACTATTTTGTGCAATAAGAATGTATAATTACTTACCAAGCTTAAAAGAAAAATCTTGATAAAATCGATCATAAACGAAAATGGCTAAGGATGGGAACCTCATAAAAAGATTGAACTGAAGTTCAAATATATATATATATATATATATATATATATATATATATATATATATATGTGTGTGTGTGTAGTGGTCTAAGGAATTTTGAAAGACACACGTCACAATAAAAGAGAGATAACTAGAAGTGTGTGTGTGCATATATATATATATATATATATATATATATATATATATATATAAAAAAAAAAAAAAAGAAAGCATAATTAAGTATGAAATGGACAAAGTCCGACAATTATTTTAAGACATTTTTTTATGTTTATACGTTCTTTTTATAGATACAAATATTAAAGTAAATGCTCTGTTTATAATAAACAATATTAACGACTTGAATGTCCGAGAAATTTTCATAGAAAATATGCGTCCTCCATGAGGGATCGAACCTGGATCCTATACGGAACCATCATATAGCCTAACGTGCCTTTACTGATTGAGCCACAGAGGCGTGTTTCGGTTAGCAAGGTCGATTTTACTTTTTTTAAAGTACAATTCTCCATGATTTTCTCTCATATACTCATATCTGCTCGATGCATTTCCAAATGTAAACAAATGACGTTACACATTATGAAATGGACAAAGCCCGATAAAAATTTTATGACATTTTTTTATGTTTATACGTTCTTTTTATGGATACAATTATTTAAGTAAATGCTCTGTTTATAATAAACAGTATTAACGACATTTACCTGCCTGAATGTACGAGAAATTTTCATATATATATATATATATATATTTGGTTGGACAGATGCGAGCCCGCGACCTCGAGCCCCATGCCCCAGCGATCGTCAGACAAACCGATCAACTCCCTAAAAAAATTGGGTTTATGTAGATTGCGTGTATTGGTGCCACTGCGGAAGTGGCGGGGGAAACTTCGTCGCCTATGTCACCGCACCAACGCAAACATCGATGCATGCAGACACGCTCGGGCTCGCATCAATCCAACCAAATATGTTAGCTCTATCTCTGATATTGAGCGCTTTCTAATAAGTACCGCGCATATA